TCGCTCTTGGGGTTGGCGACAAGGGTATCTGGGTGACATTTGCCAGAGGCATGGATGGAAAGTCCATTAGCGAATTCAGCGCACTATGTGACGAGGTCTGTTGATTCCGCCAGCATTTCGCGTTTGAGCTCACTCACACGACTGCCCCTCAGTACGCAAAGACACTCTACGGCATCGTTCCCCCGGGGGAAGAGGTTGAATCAGACGAGGAAGACGAGGACATTGAGGCTTCTATCAAGAAAGAGCTCGATGGTATCAGCGACGTCAACAAAGGCAAGACCAAGCGTACGTTCAAGGCCATCAAGGCCGGTATCGAGTGTGTCTTCTTCATGAAGACGCGGGATCCTATCGACCCCGTAGAGCTCTGCCGTAAGATGTGCGTAGACGCCAGCGTCTGCACTGATCTCAAGGAGCGGAAGACCAAGTATATCAACCGACTGACGCCGGTCACCTCTGTGGATAAGGCATCTGAGAACGGCGTGGTGCGAGTCGCTAGAAAGGCTCTGGCTGCGCATTTCGACCTTGTAGATGAGACTGCTCAGGCTTCAGAAGGCGACGCAGAGAAGGTTGAAGGAGGGAGTGATGCTCAGACTGAGAAGCCGGCCTGCACAGTATGTCCATTCACAACAAACCCTGGCCGAGTGATTCAGGCTGACATGTTTGGCAGTATGCCATCCGACCTTCCATACGCAGCAACAACTCGCTTGATCGCGACACGCTCATTAAGCAAATCGCCAGCGTCGTCAGTCCGCGGCACAAGGTCGATCTCACCAATGCCGACAAAGTCATACTTGTCGATGTTTTCCAGGTAAGTGGAGACTAGCAATATAGAGCTGGCGAGCATCAACTGACTGATTTGCAGAGTTTCTGCGGCATGAGTGTTGTTGAGCGCAGTGACTGGGATGGTTTGAAGAAGCTCAACGTCAACGAACTGTACAAGGCGTCTCCTGGAGCAAATGCGAATCGCCCGGCACCAAAGGAAGGTGAAGACAAGGCAGCCTGAATAGTGTATGAGCTCGTCAGGGATGCACTTGTGTCCATCCATCCTCTAAGTTTTGGAACCAACTACGGAAAAACTTTGTGAAAACCCAAGCGAAACAGCCAATCGGCCTTGTGAGTACTAGATGATGAGAGAGACGAGAAAGTACATGGCTCACTCACCTGCATCTTGACAACCACCGTATCTTATACATGGCAATGTCATTTGAAATTGGTGGGCCTTTGGCTCACATTGGTTCCTTTTCAAGACATTGTGCAGCAAAGAGGCCGATATGCCCTCTCCAGTACACTGAGAGATGAATTCATAGAGACTCTTGATGTTTGTACTGTGAATGGTCTTATGTATGCCTACTCGTCCCTCGAGGATGTTCAAAGCCAGCAGCCTGAGATACGGCGTTTCAACTCATCCTGGTTGCGTAGCCTTGGTAAAGGCTCTTGGTCTTACGTACGTGACGCGCAAACTCCAAATAGCCTGCGACAATCGTCGAATCTGAATCTTAGCATAAACAGTGGGGTGTTTTCTAGTACGGATGTAATGCGGACTGAGTTGCTATGAGTATTCGCAATCCCAGGGCTTATTGTGATTTGATGGGAACCTCGATCTGTTTCTCGCCTATGGGATGCTGGTCGTAGGAAGAGCGATGAACGACCGGAGCTGTACCGAGTACCGACCGCATGATGGTCAGATATTTCTGCAACGTGTTATGGGATATGGGGAAACCAACGCAAACATTGGGGCGACTCGGTCACCTATGTGTTGTGTTGGTGGGAAAGTAGCAGCTGAAAGCCGAGCGCCCAGTGTGGAGCGAGGTGTAAGCCGTGTGGAGAATGCGCGTCGGCGAGCATGACGGCGCTAAGCCTTATCAGTATAAATTTGACGAGTCCCCAACATATGGAACGTTCCAAACTTCCATGTTCTATTTGGGATCCAGATCCGTCCCTTAGCCGCTTCCACCATATCATGTCAGCTGGCTGGGGGGGAGGGCCAGTGTGTTGGAGCTCGGGGTCGGCGGTCGATCCGGGAATCCAGCATTGGCTATCATTAGTATTCATTACGGACCCAGTGCATGCATATATCAGACCTTGGCAGCATAGCCCTTTTGCAAGTGGATTCCGTCTGGCTGGATGAATTTGAAATATTTGATGCAGAACTTCTAGTGTAGATTGCCCGTCTTCCACCTTTCATCCAATGCTACGAGATGGGGTACGTACCTCAATCGGTAACTACCTACCTAGGTACCTACAGAACTTTAGATTTCTATGTTACCTTACCTTAGTAAATGCATCCTGTACTTACCTCATTGCGAGGTGATTTGCCATTCGCACAATGCGACCACCTGACCGGCCAGAAGGTATGTGATTCGGTGGTCCCGTTGGAATATTCTACCTTGGAGTTAAGTAAGGAAACAGTAGTTCAAGTATGACTTGCATCAGCATACTTCGCCAAATCCGCTTGACGCTAGCAAAAGTTCCTGCGCTGGTGGGCTGGATCTTGGGCTTGCATTTCCGACAACTTGTGTGAGCGTCGAGGCAGTCATCACGTCTGAAGGCTTTCCAATCCAACATGTGCAGCGTTCTTGTGAGAAGCTCAGCATGGCAGATGTTTCAATGGCTCGAGGCACGCATTCGATATACTTCATCACAGGTGAAGACGACGGCTAACTGAAGATATTCCAGCTTAAATCTGGCCATTGTACGGATATCCGTACAGTAGATAGAGACTTGGCATTTGACGACAATCCGGGGTATCAAAGCTCCCATCTCATCTTACCTTGGCCCAGGGCTGCCCCTTGGATCTTGAGGTGTTTATCCGTTGGCATGGATCCGTATCCGCGCACTGTTGGTAAGGCACCTACCTACCTACCTTACCTTGCTGTGAGAATGGAACAGTGAGATGAGATGAGAAAAGAGTGGGTGAGTGGGTGGCCGCCCCGACGCTGCGGGCGGGGATCCGAGACCCGCCAGTTTCGCTTAATCGTGTCCAATCAACAAATCCCCGGCTCGCTTGACGATGCAGAGTCTCGCTGGGGGTTCCCTGTCACCCTCTCAGCCAAGCTAACCTCCATCCCATCATGAGAACCCTACGAATAGATTTCCTCCATTCATTCCACTTCTTCACCAACCTCACCTCCCCAGATCGCGGACCATCCAACCTTTTTCCATACCGCGAGAAGAGAGACCAGCCTGTATGTCACTGGCTCGCATACTCTGCCCCTACATACTTGAACTTATTGCAGGAATATCTACATCACTTACCAGTGCCTGCATAAGGTGGCATGTGGAGATCGTCAACTGCACGACTAACCCAGACTCGACGCTTATCCTCTCTCCTGTGGGGAGTAAAAGACCTTCATCTGCAACCTCGCTTGACTTGAACCCGAGTGGCACATTCCTTCGTCTGTTGTTGGCATCCTGCGTTGCAGAGCCCCTCTCTGGCCCCTGCCTGTCTTCTCCTTTTCCGACATTTTTTCATCTACACTACGGTACCTCATCTCTCTTCTCGGTCTATGTCCGTAAGATCCATTCACAAATCTTCAGTCGCTTTTTCGGTCCTCCCGCTCCCTCTTTCTTTCTGCCTGTCTACTGTATGTGTATGTGCATACTTGTGTGTCAGTCTCTCTCTCTCTCTCTCTCTCTCTCTCTCTCTCTCTCTCTCTCTCTCTCTCACACACACACACACCCCCACGCTCTTAGAAGTCCATAGGTGCTCTTCGGTACTCTTGCGGGCTTGTTCCCTCCCTGCGCACCTCATGGGCAAAGTGAATTAGCGAAAGGCAGATTGTTATCAGACAGCTTATACGTTGTCGCTTTTTAGTGTCGTCTCTCTCGCTTATTCCTCACCCGCTCATTGAGCGCCTTCTCCTCTTCCTACCCACTCAGCCAGTGTTGCTCCTTGCACGACGCCTCGCCCGTCACCACCGAGCCATCGGGCCTTAGTCTGTCAACCTCTTGCTCTCTCGCCTGTTACGGCTTCTCATTAGTTCATCTCGTGCGTTGGCTTGTTCACGACCGTCTCGCTTGTCCTGGAACAGCTCATGGTCATCCTCGATGCTTGGCTGCCTCATCGAGCTCATGTCCTTGGGCCTGGTTTTTGCGCCGCCCGCCCATCATGTCTCGCTTCTCGCCTCGACCGCTGCAATGCAACTGCATAGCTTAGCTTACCCTGTTCCTCTCACCTGTCTCATCTTCTCTTTTGAGGCGTACGAAGACACTTATGCTGGCCCAAAGAGGTGCCGCCCCGACCTCTGTTCGGACGGTTGCCGTCTTTTGTCGCGAAACAAGGATTCGTGTGTGGACCGACTTCACTCACTCCATCATTGGCATTGGCCTTTCCACTCAGACCTTCACACCCCTGGGTTCTCAAACGCCCTCAACCTCTGCCCTGCTCATCGCCGAACATCCTTTCGCTTGTAGTCGACTCATCTTTCCGTGATTTCATGCGCATACCTAGTACGCTACCGTCGTCATCATCATTACCCTCCTCCTTCTCATCATCCAGCCCAGAAGAGATAAGCGAATATTCCCCGTAAACTTCACTTGCCGGCTCACCCTTCGAATCCGCCTCGCTAGACACACCGTTTCTATTGGAGTGATCTCTTGGTGTTGCCTTTCTTGGCATGAAAACGTCCAAAGTCCCCGGCCGGACCACTCCGTGTGTCCATATTACGCCGCAACACGACCTTGCAAATCCCGACACCTTCGTCTGGGAAGCTGTGGACGACTGGCTATATCTAGCTACTTCGCCCAACCCCTACCACATGGCTCCTGGCCGGTGTCACCGCACTCACACCTCGACTTCACCTTGCATACCATTCGCCTGCCAAAGCGTTTCGCAGACCTGCAGCATCCCGCCCGTCACGCATCGACCTTCCATAGGGCAGAACCTGTACCACAATACAGTGTCAGCGACGTCCATGTGTGCGCCGCCTCCTCCGGCAAAGCCAATACAGACCGTTATAAGCCGTTTGGTACCCCAGGCCACCGTCCAACAAGTTCAGGTAATGCCATCGGTTCATTGCCAACGCGTCTATGGAGTCAAAGTCTCCACCGGAGCGAGCTTGGTTCTCGTCGTTCCCCCGCCGCCCATGGTCAAGCTGCTACGATCTGAACGAGCCTCCGTCATCTCGGAGGCTGCCGTTTTAAGATGGCTTGATGGCAAAACTGTCGAGACGCCTCTTCTCCACGAGAATGTTACGGAGACAGGAGACTCACCCAAGTCAACCTCTCCCGTAGCCACTTACGAGAGCGGGACGAGTCATTCTGATGTCACGGTACAAGAACTGCGGGCTTTGGTTCCAACCCTCATATCACATACGGCCGCCTCGAACGAGCTGGGCCTCGAATATAACCTCGTCAAGCCAACACTAGGCATCCCCATCTCCGAACTCAGTCCACCACTCTCGTCAGCCGAACGAAGAACAATTGATTTTCAAATTGGTCAATTATACCGCCAGCTTTGCGAGCAAGTATCACCCACTGGGCGGTTCGGACCTGCATTTGCTGTTCTACCTACACGTGCGCCATCGCCAGCTACAGATCCCACGAAGCCCCCGAGGCGAGATGTCGCCGCGAGGTTGATGGAATCAAAAGGCGTCCACTCCTGGACTGTGGCCTTCCACTCGATGTTAGAAGCCGTGCTTCGTGACGGGGAGGATATGCAAGTAATGTTGGGTTATAGTGCTATCCGACGGCAGTTCAAGCGCTTCGAGCATGTGCTGGATGGAATCAAAACACCCCGGTTGGTGGCTGTTGACGTTGGGAAAGATGTCAACACCCTTGTACTCAGAAAACGAGGCCCTGAAGATGACGTATCTCTGGTCGAGGATAGACCACGGGAAAGACTACAACGAACAGACCGCCACGGTAGTGACGCAAATAGCGAGGATGGCGATGGGTACGATACCGGCTCGGATTCTAGAGACGACAGCACGTCACTTACTCTCCAACACGACGATGGCATTGTCATGGCTGGCATGAAGGACTGGAGCAACTTCATTTTTGGAGATCCACTATTTGCTCTCAATGTCGGTCGTGAGCCCAGTGGTGATTTTCTTGCGGGATTCAACGGATCTTCAAACACTCGACACACCATCATGTCAATGTTTTCCTCGGATCTGATTGAGGACAAGGAGAGGGCTCACGTCCGCCTTCTGCTGTACGACTGCTACCATACAATCACGCACATTGCGAGAACATACTTCCGCCCGCAAAAGGACATGAACGGACGCGAATTGGAGGCACGAAAGAGGTTGAACACTATACTGGCGCAGCTTGATGCTCTTGATGACGCTGGCACACGGAGGGGGAGAAGACCAAGCGGCGAATCAAGCCCGGCCAAGAAACGGCCGAAGAGCGGGGAATCGTCCGAGTAGTAGACGACGGTCGTATATCGAAAGGCGATGCTTATGATGAACGAACATTCTTAGAACATAATTGGGGAAAGACATGTCTAGAGCCTGGCGTACGGTTGCTTCCTGGAGGAAGATGCATTCGTCGTTTTAATGAAAACTGATTAATGACCTATGAGATATCGGGCGTTTGTCTTCATTGCTTGTTCTTGTCTTCACCGTCATTGTTGTCCTCGTCTCGCGGAAGCTGAAGTCCCATCATGCCTAGAATGTTCCCAGCCGGACCCGGCATACCACCCTGACCCTTGAAGCTTTCGAGGAGGTTCTTGGCTAGATTGTAGTCAATGTCAACTTCGTCGTTTGCCTCTTCATCATCACTGCTTGAATCAGGCCCACTGCCTTTCCCTTTGTCCTTTGAAGTTAGGGCTCTATCTTGAGGTTGATTCAACTTGAGAGCACCGTGTTCATTGAGCTCAGCTTCCAACTCAGCGGTAAGCTTCCGAAGGTCATCGCCGTCCGGTTCCTCGCCTCGCGCGACGGGTTTAGTGTTCTCTCTTACCGCAGGCGATTTGCTTGGAGCATCACTAACGTCGGACTCTGCGGGTGCTAGTCCCATCATTTCTCTCATCATACGAGAGAATTCCGCTTCATCAAAGCTGACCGCCTTGTCTTCATCTTCGTCATCTTCGTCTGTCTGCTCTCCCTCAGATTCGTCGTCGTCGTCGTCGTCATCATCAATGTCCATTTCATCGATCTCGGCACCGTCCAGTCCTGCATTCTCATCGTTGAGAAAGGCCTCAAATCGGGAGACGATTTTGCGCAGGTCTGCTTGTGTTGTGGCATCTCCAAAGCTCGATTTCGATTGAGATTGTGTACCGCCTTGACGTCCTGACAGCTCTCTTTCAAAGTCTTCGTAGTTGATGTCCATCCAGGACTCGTCATCTTCGCGACTGGCGTCCTTCCAGCTGCGAATTTGTTCGTCCGTAGGGAGCACTGTGTCTCCATCCTCCTCAAGGTCCTGGACAGTGATACTAGCCGCCCTGGCTTCACGACTATCGGCCTTCTCAACATTGTTGAGCATTATTTCGAACCCACAAGTGAGCTTCATGCCCATCTCCAGATGTGTGTGCTCGGCTCCCTTGGCCCGTTGGATAAGACTAGTCCAAGGGGCAGGAGGCTCGAATCTCTGCGATCTGAGTTGAGCGAACAACACCCTGGTAAATTTGACGCTCACTGTGACAAGATCGACTGGGGGAAAAGTAAGGGTTTTTTTGCTGGACAGGAGAGTGTCCAGATCTAGCGCATCGCGGAGGTAGAAGGACTCCACAGCTGGCGCAACGGCCTTGGGAGTCTGCTGTAGGACATGGACAAGTCTTCGAGGAATCGTCACGAGCGAGTGGTGTATGGACTTGTGGATCTGGCCAGGGTACTTTTCAAGGCGATAGAAAGCCTCAGCCTCTATGAACTCTGAGTGCAGAAGAGAGTCTGCGGTAGCCTTGATGACGCGCAAAGCGTCCGATAATGCCAACGGCTTGTTCTTAGCGCCGTCTTCGGTTGTGTAAGGGATGATTCGCAGACGGCCATGGTTGATCCAAACACGGTTCTGGTCTGTCTCAGGACTCAACCATTTTGGGAGAACGTTGGCCGCCTCTATGAGGAGAAACTCCCCATCGGCGTCAAAGACACGGATCCATGCAGTGGGTTGAGCTTTGGAAAGCTCTCTGAGGATAAAGACAATCAGCCATTCGTCCTCGATCGCATCTCCGTAATCAGTAGTTCCTCGGAGAAACGAGTTGCCTGTCGGAGTATTAGCACACAAATCAAAGGATGGAATCATTCTGGTTTTGGACGAACCTTGCTCTGTGACCACATCGAGAGTAAAGAGGCCCTTTTGCCAAATGTAGTCTGCGGTCAGGGAGTTTGCGAGTTGCAGAGCAGATTTCCGTATGTCTTCGAGTCGGGAAAGTTGCTTCAATGCATCATTTGAGGCGTTGGGGTCGACGAGAAAAATGCTGTACTCGACGCAATTCTCTTGTAGGTTAAGAGCATTCTTTCCGTTGCGGTCCCCTCCATCTCCAGCTCCTCGTTGTGAATCAGACATGAAAAGTAGCTCCGAGGTGCCTTGGCTCTCCAGATAAAGTTGTAAATGCGCGTAGACGACGGACACAGTTGTTGTTGTTCTGTTGAGGCAGAGCCGTGGGTTTTAGCTCGCGGTCTACTCAGTCGCAGGCAGGGCTGATAATTTGAGTGAAGGTTGGATGACTTCTTTCAATGGAAGCCAGGCGATTTCGAAAAATCTTTGAGGATTCGCGCATTGAAATTCGTGAACATGTATTTCATACACACTTGATCCGAAGTGTGCATGTCTGTCTTGCCTGAATTGTCCACCTCGACCTATCTATTTGATAGAGCTGCAACTCAGACTTTAGAGACTGTTTGCTGGTGTTGGCATACCTATGGCATGAAGCGTCGTTGTCGCTCAGAAGGCGCTCCACAAAAGCCCCAGTCGCCTAGGTAGCACAGTAACTTTGATAAAAGTCTGCCCGGAGCACTGTACGCGTTAAGTGATCGATCCATGGAAGGCAGACATTACCTCAGCCCCCACCGCGGACAACCACACAGTCGCGTTCCGCCATCCAACGCGCCGCACGTAGCTTTCGTGCTCCTTCAATCCGCAGGTCTACAGCCAAAATTATCCAACGCAAGGTACCCAACATCTGCGCCCACCTTCCTTCATCGACGCCCAGTGCGATAGGCCCATTGAGTCACTATTGCGCGACGCGGCGGAATTTTTCCACGCAGGCGCAATTGCAGGTGCATCTTCTGAGCTACTCGTCATGGCCCCCGCCAAGAGATCCCACGCCGTCTCGGAAGCAGGCACCGGAGAGGAGGAGTTGGTTGAGGTGCGGCAAAAAAGGTCCAACCTCGCTCAGAACGCGTCCGTAGGTTTCTTCAAGAATGTGAATTCAGAACATTACCCATGAGATCAACTGACACTTCTGGAATTATGCAGTCAAAGCGGGTTCGACTATCAAACACTGCGCAGTCGGCTAAGCCGACCTCCCCGAGGGACGAATTCCCAAGCTCCGGAAGCGAAGATGGTGCGGACGAAGAAGAGGAAGATGGACGAGCTGGCCGTGACTCGCCTCCCCGAACCCAATACGAAATTGCCCGAGATGATGGCTTCAGGCATTTGCAGTACGAGGATCAAGACGATCAACGTGCTACGCAGAAAATCAAAAGCCGGCCGCAGCGCATCGGCGATAACCATGCTGCCGAGAACGGCATTATCGAGAGTGTCGAGTGCATCAACTTCATGTGCCACGAGCGCCTTTTTGTCGAGCTCGGTCCCCTGATCAATTTCATCGTCGGCGAGAATGGAAGTGGCAAGAGTGCAGTCCTCACGGCCCTGACCTTGTGTCTTGGCGGCAAGGCTAGCTCTACTAACAGAGGCGGAAGTCTCAAGAGCTTCATCAAGGAGGGGAGAGACAATTCTGTCATCATTGTGAGGATTAAGAATCAGGGCATAGACGCCTATCAGCCCGATCTGTACGGCGAAACCATCAGAGTCGAACGTCATTTCTCCAGGGCTGGCGCCAGTGGCTTCAAGCTGAAGAGTGTGACTGGAAAAACAATTTCTACAAAAAAGGCCGACGTTGATGAGATCTCCGAGTATTGGGCTTTGCAGGTTGACAATCCACTCAATGTTCTATCCCAGGACAATGCCCGACAATTTCTGAATTCTTCATCACCCTCTATGAAATACAAATTTTTTGTTCGAGGTGTCCAGCTCGAACAGCTTGATAACGACTACAAACTCCTGACGGAAATTCTCGAGAGTCACGAGGCAAAGCTACCGACCCTAGAGGAACATGTCCGGCGTGCGAAGAGAGAGCATTCAGAGGCGCAGAAGCTCAGGGACATTGCTCAGAAGAATGAGGAAATGAGAAAGACATATCGCCGTCTCCGTAATCAGCTTTACTGGTCACAGGTAGCTGAGCAAGAAGATGTGCTCGTCAAGTACAACGATGAAGTCGCTGCTCTGGACGGGGAAATCCAACGCGCTACTATGCTCATTGAGCGCACAACGCAGGCTTTAAGTCAGCGCGACGAGCACCTTGAGCGTGCTCAAGGTGCAGTCGAAACGGAATCACAGGAAGCCGGTGCTATTCAGGAAAGCATCGCCCTCGCCGACGAGGCGTACCAAGAGGCCAAGCAATCCGTCACCGACATACACCATCAACTCAGAGATGTTCAACAACGGCTCAAAAGCGCCGGGCAAGGGGTGGCCGAGTTTGAAACCAAGATTGAAGCCGAGGAGCATCGACTGGGCGCTGGAGCCGGGAGCGCCCGTCAGGAACAGGAGAGTCTTCTGAACGAAGCAAGAGCAGAAGAGTCTATGATCAAACAACAAATCGCCGAAGAGAATGACGCAGTCCCGCAACTCAGAGCAGAGCTAAATCGTGCCCAGGGCGCCTTACAAGGGGGCAAGGCCGATGTCGACAGGAAGAGGGCGGAAATTACCTCGGCAGAAGGACGTTTGCGTAGCCTGGAGCAGAACAGAGGCTCTGTCTGGGCTGCTTACGATAAGAAGATACCTCTCCTTCTTCAAGCGATCGAGCGAGAGAATGGCTTTCACGAAAAGCCCGTTGGGCCCATTGGAGCCCATGTTCAGCTCACTCAACCTGAGTGGTCCCCAATTTTGGAAACGGTCTTTGGCGCAACGCTGGATGGCTTCCTTGTGTCCAACAAGTCTGACCAACAACGACTCACAAAACTCATGCAACAAGTCAACTTGCAGCGCTTTCCCCCAATCATCATCAGCAAGCGGCTGCCGCCCAACACCCACCTCAGGGAGCCGGACGCAGCCTTTGACACTGTTCTCCGGGTGCTCAAGTTCGACAATGATTGGGTCCGCAGTCAGCTCATTGTGGCACACACCATTGACAAAATTGTTCTGATAAGAGAGAGGACGAAGGCAGAAGATGTCATGATGAGCGATTCACCTCCCCCAAACGTCCAAG